AACCAGATTTCTGGCAGAACAGGCCTAATTACATGAAATTAATTTAATTGAGCCTAGCTAATCATTACTAAGTTCTTACCGCTCTCGCGGCGTAGAGTACAATAATTTAGGGGTCCAGGCTGATCTCTCATGCGACAAGATCCTAAATTATTGCCAAAACGAGCGAGCTTACGGCCCCTTAATCGCTACTAATCTCTTAGCGAACGATTAAGTGTGTGTGAATGTGTCCTAGAACAAATTAGATCTCTCTTAATTTATTCTATAAGCAATTGTAATTCTAGTGGGCATCTAGGTTACAAGAGATATCAATTAAATTATTCATACACAAATTAAATGTCATTCATGCAATTAAACCGACAAGAATCTAGCCATACATCATGATTAACCCCTTCATCAACCCCAAATCCCTAATTAAACTACTCACGCCTCATAATTGATGAATCAAAAGAATTGGAATGAATAGAAATAATTGTCATTAATTAAAGAATTGAACTTACAAAGAATCTCAGGTTCTTGGATTAAACAACGTAAAAAACGCAGGTAAACTCGTCCCTAGGCCTCTCTCCAAAGTTCGTAACCCTCAAAAGTGGGTATGGAGGCCTTATTTATAGAAAACAGGAGAAGTTGAGCTGATTTAGGACAAAACGGGGCCAGACACGATGCCAGGCACGATCGTGCCTGCCATCGTGCCTACGGAGTATACGCGTTAAAAAAAATGCAGACACGATCGTGCCTGCATCGGACACAATCGTGTCTGGCTGCCAGTAGCTCCGCGTCAATTCTAACTGCAGGCACGGCCGTGCCTGCCCTTTTCTTCATCGTTTTTCTTCGTTTCTCGTTCCGAATGCTCCCGAATGCCTACGAGGTCGATCCAAATGCTCTTTCTTTACCAGAATTTCGCCGTGAATCTCCCGGTGGCCTCCAAATCATCCAAATCTTTCTCAAATGCCTTCAAATCCTTCCCGAATGCCTCTCAAGCGCCGATTGCCGGACTCTAACTTCTTCAAATCAACTCCAAATGCTATGAAACTCGATCCAACGCCTGTTAAACACAACTTGAGTCAAAATTGAGACTTGCAACGCCTTAAAGCCAGGAAAATCATCAAAATCCGACCTGAACACGCATCAAATGCGTGTCTAAATACGGACTTATCAATCACCTAATCAAGAAAATCCAAGCTTCAAGTCAAGAGTAAAAGTGAAATAATTTAGATACAGAATACAAAAGTTCAAGTTAGGAAGTAGTTAAAGTGAAATGATTTAGAGTGTACTATAGTATAAAAGTTCACAATATTATACGTAGTACTATGGTATGAACTAATTGAAACAGACATTCTATTAGGTTGTAGTAAAAAAGTATTTAGTAACTATGTCCAACAAGTAACCATATACCAACTCAACAGTAGTTCATATATAATGCTCAAAGAGAGATGCATATTCCACATTCATATTTTGCATCTTTCTAGATGAATGTTGAACTTGATTATAAAAAATCATCCCTTATATGGTTCTTTGAAAGACAAATTTGACATTTTAAGGCATATGCACCCTTATATGACATTTTTATCTAAACCCCGTATGATTTTGCTATATTATTTAAAATTGAATTAATTATCAATACGGAGGTTGTACTTTACTATTAGTTGCCTAAAAATGTTGATTTTGCAAAACACTTTGGAACAAATGTAGTACGAAGTATATATTTATAAAATGATACTAATGGTAGTCTATAGGTTGCAAATTTCACAAATGTAACACTTATGAGAGATATTGTAATACTTTTAGGTGATACATGATAGGCTAAGATGTAATAGTGATGTGATGCATTTGTTTCATCAAAGTATTTATTGAGCACAATGTCTAGATTTGGGCTCCAAAATCTATAAGCTTTAGTTGCAAATGAAAATATACTTACGATCTCTGCCCTAGACAAAGCACACAAATCACTAGACCTTTTAAAAAACCCGAAGGAAAGAGATGCAAATATACCTCTGAAGTAAGTGTGGAGGTGCAAATATAACTTAAACTTCGAAAAGGTGTACAAATACCCCAATATTTCTATGAATGAATAAATTTATCCTTATTGACTTTAAATAAATAAAATAACTTTCAAAAAACACAAATAATTATAAATTTAAATTTTGAAATTGTAAAATAAAAAAATTAAAGTGTTAAAATAAAGATTTATTTTTATGTTAAAGTATTAACTCTTTAATTTTAAATTGAAAAATTATAATTTTCCCTTGTAATTGAAACACTTCAAATTCATAAATATCAATTTTAGTCTTGTTCCAATATTTCGAACACATTGTTACATTTTTTGAAATAACACTCTTTGGATTTGTTTAAACATAATAAAATTAAATTCATTATTTTGTAATCTTTGACTATTTATTTTGTAACTTTATAGTGCAAATAATACAAAAATTTAATTTAATTTTTACATTGCAACACATATGTTAACACTTTTCCGAAAGAATCATAAATGTATAGTAAGGTTTTGAGACAATATTTCATACTAGCTATTTGAAATTGTGATATAAAATAACAAAATGGAGAGTTGGACACAAGTAGATTTTTTTAATTTCACATTTTAAATTTATTATTTGTTTTTGGCATTTTATAAAATTTAGTTTATTTATTTAAAAAAAATGTTAAATTTGCTCCATTATAGGAATTTGAGGAATAGTTTTGCACCTTTTAGAAGTTCAGGGATATATGTGCATGCATATCCACATATATTTCAAGGGTATTTGTACCTTTCTCCAAACCTGAATGGCGTTTAGAAAACGTTAATTATTTTATTATGTGTTTCATTTTCAACCTTTAATTTGTGAGATGAATCCTTTGGCGACCTCAGGTGAGCCTCTTATTCACAGTGTTGTTAGACATGATAAAACTAAATAATGTATTTGATTTAAAATATGACCTTTTTTAGAGGCCTTTTATACGATTATTACTAATACAATATGAAATGACAAAAAACTGACTCATAACTTAAATTTCCGAAAAAGTGATTAGAGAGTAAATACGTGTGCTATTTAACTGGTTGATTACCTTTTATACAGGAAATCAATTAAAAGCACTTATCATACAATTAAATACTCCATAAAAAGCAAGAGACGGTACATATATAATTATAAAACCTTGTCAATTTATTAAATATATTGTAAGTACATTTTAACATCGTCACTTAATATCATCACTATTATTTGCAATGTCGCTACACATTTTCAAAATAGAAGTGCTTAGATTGATTAATATATTAGATCAACTATTTTGACAATGTAGACGTTGGAATATCATTATGGTGATATTGTCGTGAGTAAATACGCATGATCTATTCTTGTACGTACGGTATTAAGTTAGTACAATTCCAATAGACTTTAGAACCTCTACTCAAATTATGTAGTCGAGAAATTACATTTAAGTTAATGGTAACTAATCTAATTTTTGGCTACTATATTTTACGATCCCCTAATCTTTTGTGTGTTTATATAAGGGTGTTGTTGTAAAATCACAAATCAATTGCTCATTTGCTCCTGTTTTGCATTTTAGTATGTTTTGTCTTCTATGGTGAGAATTTTCTCAAATTTAATTGAACCAATTAGTATTGTGTTTTGAAAATTTCTTGGAACAATGTTAATATTAATAATGATCTAATCTCTCATGAAAAAAGTATTTAACAACATCTAATGAAATGAAAAACACTAGTTTTATTCTCCCATGACAAATTGTCTAAAGATGTAATGATTGTATTATATTATTAGCATATTTGGATGATACTGAAGTAGATATTCAAAATCCGCACTTTAGAAAAATGAAAAACATGATTTAAATATTAGGGAATGTTAATTTGATACCTTATTAATCATGTCGTAAAATATTACAAACGTCGCACCACACGAATAGTTATCTATAAATAATACTATGTACTATTTATAACTATCTACACCTTCACCATAGTTATCTCAATACTTTATTTTAACCAAATATATCATATTGCTTTGGAAAATGTCTAACAATAATGAGAATAAGAGAGTAAGTAGGGGACGCCAAAGGATCCCACTCAGCAAAATTGAGAAAGAAATTAACTGTCAAATAAAATTTACCAAACGTCGTTCTAGCACATTCAAAAAAGCCAGTGGGTTGTCTATTTTGTATGGTGTGGATATTGCTATGGTGGTATTTTCACCTGCAGATAAGTTTTATACTTTTGGAAGCCCAAGTGTTGATGTAGTACTTGACAAATACTTTGGTGAAAACGCTACACCAGAGGCAAGTGTGACTGATGAGATAATTCGTGCACATTATGAAGATAACATGAGAATCATTACACCCCAAATAAGTGACATGGAATCTCTTGTTCATGATCTAACGAAAGAAAGTCAAGCTCATTGTGAATCTGAAAAATGTAGACCAGCTATTTCAGATCTACAATTGCATGAGTTGGAGAATTTGAAACATAGCCTGGAAACACTTTCTTCTCAAACTTATGAAACACTAAAGGAACCCGTGATGCAAGTTCAATCTCATGACCTAACCACTCCAATGGATAGAGGTGCCTTATATGGCCCCTTCTTATATGTTCAAATCAATAATGACGGTTCTGGACCAAGTGGAACTAGCTAGTTCATAATTAAAATGGTTATTTCAGCATCATGCATGTATGATGAGAGTTATTTTTCTATATTCATATTCGGCTTAAAATTTCCTATGTTATGTGTGATTGTCATCAATAAAAATGTCCCTATGTTATTTTTCGGCAACAATTAATGTTTTCATTTGTAAAGGTTACGTTAATAGACAATTTATTTTGTAAACTTGTAGTCAACCGTGCTAATAAATAAGATACTTTTGGGTAATGAACGCTAGAGACGTGCAAATAAGGATGTGCATACTTTAGAATCGTGCTCCAATAGAAGACATTCATGTGTTAAAGACTTCATGTACTTTAAAATTTCAGTTTAAATCAAATTAAAATTACTTAAATGACTATGCTCCTGTCTATTTCTTTTGAAAGGAAAACGGCTTATATTAATATCATTAGGATTTGTATCGTTACAAAAATAAAATGCATTTCCCATGTAAAATTGAAGTACAAAAGTTCAATTATATGTGTTTTCAGAGTCTTCTAGCAATTGAGATTTGAGACATGAGTTGTTCCATCTTGAAGGCGGAGCGGGCCAAGTATAGCTAACCCGAAGTCTGAAAGCTTTGCACTCCGTTGGTGATGTAACAAAAAAATTGATGATTCGAAGTCTGGAAATAAAACAGAAATTTATGTGTTAGGGGCATTTGTAATACCAATAACAAACAAATCAGTGAAGCTGAAAATTTATCCCTTCATGCGAATAAACTAAGACAGGTGCATATATTCATATAAAAAATAGGATTCCTTTCCGATGAAAAAGTATATATAAAAAATAGGACAAAATGGATTTACCTCTTATCAACCTCTGCACAGCAGCCAAACACGGTTTCATGCTCAACAACATTTAGTTTTGCCAACCATACATTGTGCCCCTCCCTGCAACCCATCAAGGAGAAAGCAAACCGGTTATGTTGTAAGAGCTAAGAAAATACTAATGGTAATGATCATTGACAAGGCCTTGTTTGTAATGAGTCTATTGGAATGCTTTTAGATCTTCCAAACCAAACTAGCTTTTAATACTATTTCAGTGAGTTAGATTTAATGTTTGGTTAACAGAACTTTCAATTAGCTAATAATGTAGATGGAAAAGTTCATTTGGGAAAAGAAATCTTTTAATCTATTGCACAAAATATGCACATGATCCACACACACTGTGCACACAGTATGCACAGAGTTTAGAAAGGACTATACTATATACACCGCAACAACAAAAACTGACAATGTGTTTCATCAATGATATGATGTATTAGTGTCTTACTAATGCAAAACTCTTACGGAGTGATATTTTCAAAAAATGTTAATAAGAGCTCTGTGTACTAAGGTCACACTCACATTTTTCTCTTTGAAGATATCATCAATAGAAGTAAAGATGATGAAACAAATCACTTCTCTTACTGAAATTGGTTCTCTTACTGAAAAGGTAGAAGTCAAGCTACGTACAAAATCCTACTACCTCCGTCCCATTTATATTGTCTCTTTATGGTTTACGATGTTTGACCGACGATAAAGCAAACAGATCCCTGCCCGCACTCAAATTATTTTTAGGAAAAAAAAATAACATATTCAGAAACTGCATTTAAAGCTTTACAAAGTTGCAAAAACCTGAATCAAATTTGATAAATTTTTGATATATAAAGTAAGAAATTAAGAGTGATTTGTATTGACAAAGTAAATAGGAACTGGGACAATATAAATGGGACGGAGGGAGTATCTTGCAATGCACAATCTGCTATTATTTTCATTTGTTCTATTGATTTTTCCAGTTAGTTAAAATAGAAAAATTTCTCTCCATGTAATAAATGCACTTGTCATAATACATTTCTTTTCGATTGTATCAACTGATATAGAACGTTAGAAATGTACCACATTTAGAAGAATAAAAAACAAATTACCTTTATATGACTTTTGTGTCCTCGGAAGGATCTCGATGATACATGTCTCCTTGTATGATGTTATGACAACAATCTTCACACCATACTATCCAACAAGTAAAAAGTGTCACCTACATATGTTATTACAAAATATTATTATATGTAATTTTAACTTGTTTGTAAAGAAGAACTAGATTAATACCAAGTCAGCAGCAGCCTGTAATGTTACATGATCACCCTACTCTCCGTACCTGAATTTGTTAATAGTAATTAATAAATGCATACCTTATTTAGTTAAAAATAAGAACAATATGAAATTAAAGTAGGAAAAATAATTCAAGGGAGAACTGAATAGTACTCCATATAATCGCCATAGCTATTATTGGGCCTACCAAGCTTTTCCTAAACTGCCTGCTTTGCTTCTATCTCAAATGTTATACATAGTAAGTTATAACCAGTATCTGTCTTTCCTACACCTCCGAAAATTTCAGCTTGCAGTCATCAACATGATGCAGCATTAACCATGATAGTGCACGCATTTAGATTTTCAATACACCCATTTTGACTCCTGGTTGAACTATTGGAAAATTACTACACTGGTTCCATGGCTGGTCCAGCTACAAAATCATTGTCAAAATGATTTGGTAATAAGGATGTGCATACTTTAGAATCGTGCTAACCAAGCATTCCAGCCCATCTGGTTGTGAGGTTACCGTGCCTAGTGGGAGGTTTCGAGTTCGAATCCCGCTAGGCACACAAGGGTTAGAAACTCAATGGAAAGAGTTTCAGCCCTGATCACTCCAGGTCCCCCCCGGCCCCCTCCCCCAGAACCCCCCTGGAGTAAAAAAAAATTAAAATTTAAAGAAAAAAACTTTAGAATCGTGCTCCAATAGAAGACATTTATGTGTTAATGACTTCATGTACTTTAAAATTTTAGTTTAAATAAAAATAAAATTACTTAAATGACTATGTTTCTACCTAGTTTTTTAAAAGGAAAACTGCTTATATTAATATCATTAGGATTTGGATCGTTACAATAATAAAATGCATTTCCCCGGTAAAACTCAAGTACAAAAGTTCAATTATATGTGTTTTGAGAGTCTTCTAGCAATTGAGATTTGAGACATGAGGTTTTCCCTGTTGAAGGCGGATCGGGCCAAGTATAGCTAACCCGAAGTCTGAAAGCTTTGCACTCCGTTGGTGATGTAACAAAAAAATTGATGATTCGAAGTCTGGAAATAAAACAGAAATTTATGTGTTAGGGGCATTTGTAATACCAATAACAAACAAATCAGTGAAGCTGAAAAACTCATCCCTTCATGCGAATAAACTAAGACAGGTGCATATATTCATATAAAAATAGGATTCCTTTCCGATGTAATATATATATATATATATATATATATATATATATATATATATATATATATATATATATATATATATATATGGAGCGGATCAGGTGAGAAGTGCTCTTAGGCTGAGAACTGCGAAGTTAAACTTATAGACTACATATAGGAACTTTTAACCGATAAATCATAACTTATAGACCCCTCGAATATAATTACGAAAATGCCACCGCAAAAAATAATTACGGAAATCTGGAATTTTTTTTTACGCGGTGGCATTTTCGTAATTATTATGGAGAGTTTTATAAGTTATGATTTATTGGTTATAAGTTCCTATATTTAGCCTATAAGTTTACTGCGTTGTAAAATCAGATGCAAATCCAAGGGCTGAGATTACTTCTCACTTCTCATTTTAAGGGGCACTTCTCACCTGATCTTTTCCCTATATATATATATATATATATAGGGGATGGTTCCGGTGAGAATGAAGTCCCATGAGAGAAATGAGAATGAAATATAACCATAGATTTCATTGATCGAATGGATATTAAAAAATGATAATCGAGATTTACTAGCCTCACTAATCGGCCAATTTAAATTGATTTATGAGGGAAGTCTGATATTATTGGATAGTAGGGGCATAAATGTCTAAGTATGAGATAAAACCATTTGGCACGTTAGTTGTATTTTAGGATCATTCCGATTATTTAGGAAATCTAATGATTATCATCCTTTATTACTTTAATAAAGATCCAAATAGTTTCTCTAAAACTAGCAGTCTACGAGTCTTGCCATTAATTGTTCCCTCATATTAGTATTTCAATTTAAAATTATAAATTTTTAGAAATTAAATTGATATCTTTCCATTGGAATAAGTAAAAAGTGCATGTCTTTTAAATGCATGTGCAGAAAGAATTGATGCACATTCGTTGCTAAAATAACGCACTTCTAAAAAATTGCAACAAGTAAATATATACTCGTATAAAATGTGCATCAATAAATAAATGTATGTGCACTATATTCAAAAGTATTGCAATTGATTCGGAAATATCTAAAGGTGCACTTTTATTCGAATTTTGTGCAGCTTCAGCTATTTTTATTTTCCAAATAAAAGATAACTCATAATTTCGGATGATTCTTTTTTTAATTCTTTAGTTCATTTGCACTCTTGAATGTCTACGAGTGCATCACTGGTCTACTTCAATCTCATTTTAGATCATGTTGCACATTAGTTGTTAAAATGATGCGCGATTTTTTATTCACATTAATTGTTAAGATGATGCACGATTTCTGATGCACATTTGTTGGTAAAATCATGCATAACACCATTAGACAAAAATATGACGAGTTATATTTTTGGACAAAATATTGACTAGTCACTGTGAATTAGTCACTATAGTAAATTTAGAATGACATGCCACTGTAGATGACGAGTCACTATAAACTAGTCACTAAATATGTCACTTTTTTGGAAAATTTTGAAATAAGCCATATTTTTTCTTTTGAACTTAATTTAGTAATATTCATGAGAAAAGACCATACAATAAATGGGGAGAATATGGTGAAATATGATTGTAATATTAAGAATTAATCGTTTAAAGAAAGGAATTAATCTAACCCATGAAAATACATGGTATAATTTAAGATGAGCACGAAAAAGATACGTAGTACTAGAATAAAATTAAAAAACTACTGCGTATAATGTACATAGCAAGACTAAGAAACGGAAGAAAACACTTTGCCTATTTACATGGATAAGCAATTAACGCACATTAAATGAGGATTGACAATTTCAGAAATACCCTTAATCAGATAAAATAATCCAAGGGTTGTAGTTCATTCTCATTTCTCTCCCTAGATGATTTTCTCACTTGATCCTAAATCTATATATATATATATATATATATATATATAGAGGACAAAATGGATTTACCTCTTATCAACCCATGCACATCACCCAAACAAGGTTTCATGCTCAAGAACGTTCACTTCTGCCAACCATACATTGTGCCCCTCCCTGCAACTCATCAGGGAGAAAGCAAACTGGTTATGTTGTAAGAGCTAAGAAAAGACTAGTGGTAATGATCATTGACAAAGGCCTTGTTTGTGAAGAGTCTACTGGAATGCTTTTAGATCTTCCAAACCAAACTAGCTTTTAATACTATTTCAGTGAGTTAGCTTTAATGTTTGGTTAACAGAACTTTCAATTAGATGGAAAAGCTCATTTTACCCATCCACCATCTAAGTACTATAACCAAACATCTCTGTATAAATAGCTGCATCAAACAACTACATACTGGTGTGTCATAAGAAAACATGGAGCAGGTTGAGGCTGGCACATTTTGTGGAATAGAAAAAATCTCATTTAATCGGCAAACCGCAACCAGAGATTCTGAATCACAAGAAATGTTATTATAAAAAAAGACAGTAAAAAGAACATCAAGAGTAGTAACTAGGTGGGTGACTAGCATAATCTGTACATAATGGGGATGCAAAAAAAGAACCTAATAATCGTCAAAGCTAACAAACCAATTGTTTGGGCATCTATAAAACACATAAGACAAACACATGTGTCTTTGTGGACAGAACACAGAGTTATTCATTCTTTTGGCAAGCCTGCACTAGCAAAACTCCAATAAAGATTCAATCTTTGAGCTTTTTGTGGAGCAATCCCCTTTTCCGAGTCTCACATGCATTTATCAAATGAACTACTCAAGAAGATAAAAGGAAGAAGAATAAGAAAAGAAAGACTTGACCGATCAAGGGAGAGAGAGAGAGTGAGAAATAAAAATGAAGTCATTGAAAAAGCTGTCTCCCTTCTATAATATCTCTATTTACCTCTATTTCTTTTTTAAGAAATTCCACCACTTCTTTTTCTTTACCTTCAAGTCTCCCACACGAGAACTTGCAACTAAAATAATCATTTTTTGGTTTTAGAGAAGGAACTAATGCATCAATCAGTGAGTACATTCTAACAAAATTTGAAATACTAGCTACTTCCTCAGAAGTATAAAATTTGACATACTATAAACTAATAAAAATATTTCTATGTACACTCACCTGCAGGAGAGCAGTTAGAGTGGACATCCTCAGAAGTATGAATCCCTTTATCCGAGTGGTCGATACCTCCTTCATGAGGATAAATAGAATTATAGTGCACCTCCGCCCAAAAACTCAAATATATGACTGCATGGAGAGATAAAAGGTCAAATGGTCACATTATCATAAGCAAAATTACACTAATGCTCAAATTGGGAAGATAAATCTTTTAGATCTATTGCACAAAATATGCACATGATCCACACACACTGCGCACACAGTATGCACAGAGTTTTGAAAGGACAATATTATATACACCGCAACAACAAAAAAGTGACAATGTGTTCATCAATGATGTATTAGCGTCTTACTAATGCAAAACTCTTACGGAGTATGATATTTTCGAAAAATGTTAATAAGGCTACGTACAAAATCCTATCTTGCAATGCAGAGATTATGATCAATAGAAGCAGAGATTATGAAACAAATCACTTTGAAGATATGATCAATAGAAGCAGAGATTATGAAACAAATCACTTCTCTTACGGAAATTTGTTCTCTTACTGAAAAGGTAGAAGTCAAGCTACGTACAAAATCCTATCTTGCAATGCACAATATTCCCTTATTTTCATTTGTTTTATTGATTATTCCAGTTAGCTAAAATAGAAAAATTTCTCTCCATGCAATAAATGCCCTTTCCATAATAAATTTATTTTCAATTGTATCATCTGATAAAGAACGTTAGAAATGTATCACATTTAGAAGAATCAAAAGGAAATTACCTCTATTTGACTTTTGTGTCCTCGGAAGGATCTCGATGAAACATGTCTCCTTGTATGATGTTATGAAAACAATCTTCACACCATACTATCCAACAAGTAAAAAGTGTCACCTACGTATGTTATTACAAAATATTATTAGATGTAATTTAAACTTGTTGGTAAAGAAGACTTGATTAATACCAAGTCACCAGCAACTTGTAATGTTACATGATCACCCCACTCTCCATACCTGAATTTGTTAATAGTAATTAATAAATGCATACCTTATTTAGTTAGAAATAAGAACGTTATGAAATTAAAGAAGTAGGAAAAATAAATCAAGGGAGAACTGAGTAGTACTCCATCACCCTCTTCAGATAATCGCCATACGCCATTGGTACATACGCCACACACATCTCTGGGTGATTCATAAGTTGGTGGAATTGAAAATTATAAAAGATCACAGTGAATAGGTGCTCAAGAAAATCCATATTAAGTATCCGTAAAAATAAGATCTACTGAGAATCACCTGATTAACAACTTGTTGTCTCACAAAACTGTGATGTTCGGGCATCCGATAAAACTGATCTGATAGAGCACGAAACCAGAAGATAAAACCGAAATAAAAAAAAAAGTTTTTACTAAAAAGTCAGTAAGGGAAAGAAATATGCAACTAAATGGAAAGTGAAGGAGATAAACTGACAGTTTCCCATCCCCTTCAACTATGTTCTCAACCAGGTCACAACGTTGCATTCTAAAAACAGAAATATTGAAAGTGCAGAAGATAAAGTAAGTAAAAAGAACTTTGTCCAAATTTTATAAAGTCACTAACAACTTTAATGAAAAACAAAAAAGTTTCAAGATGTCCAAAGGAAGAATTATGCAAATATCATGAAAAAGCAAAGAACTTTTTCCAAATGAAAAGTTCTCGGGAAGTGTGCATAATTTTTACTTCGATAAACTTTTAAAAGCAAAGATCGTTTCGGTCCAATTACTGCTAATTGGTCATTTATAGTATCTCTAGGTTGTTTTTAGGTTATTAGCTCACACAGTACTTGCACTAAACATGCACATAAATTACATCGTAACTGTTTCTGCATCCGTGCTTTAAAAGTCATTACACCAGAACATAATAACGAAAAACCAGTTCAAGCTTCAAAATGAAGTTTGTCTAAGAAACATCATTAATGTCTCTTTATTGAAAACATTTCCAAAGACTAACAATTACCTATTTAGAAGCCTTTCTTTATGAGACGTGGCTTCATCGTCCGAAGGTATATGTGTATTTATTCTAGGAACGAGCTGCATGAAAGGAGCGCAATATAAGTTTCAATTCGAATTTGCCATAAAAAATTACAACAAAATGTATACTCACTGGAACAACATCAACTTCATTGAGCTGCCTGGCGTTATCATCATCAAACTATGATTCATATTTTATTCCCGATGCCTGATTGGGTTCTTCACCACTTGAACGTCTGTCTTTAGCAGGGTGGCTAGAGGAAGATGGTCCAAAGCAAATAGACTCTTCTGGAACTTCGTTATTATTTCCTGAGAATATAATAAAGTTCATCCATCATGGCATATGTAATGTTAATATATGTAAGGAACATGTGGGTAAAAAGATTGAAAACTTAACCATACCAGAAAAATGATTCTTTGATAGATAGTCATCAGTAACCTACCATAACTAGACACCATCATCACTGGGGAATTGCTGGCCATGATAACATCCTTCGATATAGTAAGCTCTAGATTCTCCTGTAATTGAGAGCTGGTTTTGAAACGCATGAGCAATTTCCTCAACTGGATTGGTGTTGTTATAATAAACTGTGTCATCATCAGCATGCTGTTGTGGACCAATTCCAGCTTCATGCTGACCACTTTCTCCATAGGAATAATAGAAGAACTTGTCTACATCAAAAACACTGAGGAATCCAGAATCTGATTCTTGATCATTCATTTTTATAAATCTCTTTTTATTTACATGCTCAACCACAGGTATCTTTGTTATTGATCACCTAATCAAGAAAATCCAAGCTTCAAGTCAAGAGTAAAAGTGAAATAATTTAGATACAGAATACAAAAGTTCAAGTTAGGAAGTAGTTAAAGTGAAATGATTTAGAGAGTGTATTATAGTATAAAAGTTCACACTATTAGACGTAGTACTATGGTATGAACTAATTAAAACAGACATTCTATTAGGAAGTAGTAAAAAAGTATTTAGTTGTGCAACAAGTAACAATATAGCAGCTCAGCAGCAGTTCATATATAATGCTCATCAAAGGGAGCTGCATATTCCACATTCATATTTTGCATCTTCCTAGATGAATGTTGGACTTGATTATTAAAAATCATCCCTTATATGGTTCTTTAAAAGACAAACCTGACATTTTAAGACATGCACCCACATTCAGAATTATCTAAACCCCGTATGATTTCGCTATATGAAAACACAGAGAAAAAATAAATTTATAAAAAACACTCATTCATGAAATTTAAACTTCTGTCCAGAAGCGATTTGACTTTTGCTATATACCCAGAAGAAAGAAAAAATCTTTTACAGATATATGGATAAGAACAACACAAACTCAGTCATGAAGTATAGCCATCTACCCAGAATATGAGAATAGTTTCTAACTTTACTATATACCACACACAGAAAGCGCAAAATGCAGCATCCGCGAGTGATCTAAGTGGATTGCTCAAATGGTATAAAAGTTAATACTACGGAGTATGATACTATAGTATGAGCCAATTAAAATAGACATTCTATTAGGAAGTAGTAAAAGCATTTAGTTACTATACGCAACAAGTAACCTATTCTGACCACACCATATAGCTGCTCTGCAGCAGTACATACATATTGCTCAAAGAGAGTTGCATATTCCACATTCATACTTTGCATCTTTCCAAATGAACGTTGGACTTGATTATAAAAATCATCCCTTATTATATGGTTCTTTGAAAGACAAACCTGACATTTTAAGACCATGCAACCACATTCGGAATTATCTAAACCCCATATGATATCACAAAGAAATACCCAGAAGAGATTTTATTATAAAAAATACTCATTGAAGACATTTAAACATCTGCCCAGAAGAGATTTGACTTTTTCTATTTATCCAACACAAAGAAAAAGTCTTTTTACAGATAAATGAATAAGAACACAAACTCAGTCATGAAGTATAGCCATCTACCCAGAAAGGTTTCTAACTTTGCTATATACCACACATAGAAAGCGCAAAATGCAGCATCCGCGAGTGATTTATCTAAGTGGATTGCTCAAATTGTTTAGAAGTTAATACTACGGAGTATACCATAGTATGAGCTAATTAAAATAGACATTCTATTAGGAAGTAGTAAAAGCATTTAGTTACTATATGCAACAAGTAACCTATTCTGACCACACCACATAGCAGCTTTGCAACAGTACATATATAATGCTTAAAGAGAGTTGCATATTCCACCAATTATACTTTGCATCTTTCCAGATGAATGATGGACTTGATTATAAAAAAGCATCCCTTATATGGTTCTTTGAAAGACAAATCTGACATTTTAAGACCAATTACAAGAAACAGATGAATTTTTATTGATGAAGAAGAACAATTACAGAAATAGAAGAGAGAGTATGGCCGAAGCCCCCAATGAGCCAAAGCCCCCCAAAAAGAAAGAGAAAGTTCTCGATCTTCCCAAGTCCCAAAATAACCTCCCAAAAAACCCCTTGCTACTCCCATCTAACTTCTATTTATAGTATTCCCACTACAAACTGTAGATATTAGCTACTCACTACTTTATTATTATTTCTGGGTCCATTAGGCCCAATTCTTAACAGTCTATTAGGCCCGGTACCTATCAATACTCCCCCCTAAACATCCACCTTGCCCTCAAGGTGGTTGATAGGAAACAACCAAAACCTCCTTCTTTTCCTTCATTCTAGTACCCCTCCCTTTCCAATACTTGATTGCCTGCTGGACCTGTAGCTTTGCTACTCCCATCCTACTCCTTATGTATTTCACAGCAGAGTTATACCGATTCCATAACACTTTATCCAGAATTTTGATTCCTTCAGATTCTTTGGAGGCTAAGGTGCATCCTGCTGCAACATAGAGGTCATCAACTTCTGGCTTTTGAACACTTTCCTCTTCAATGCCATTAGGTAACCCTTGATAGCTCAGTAATTTTCCTTTACCAGTCTTATTTAATGAAGGATCTCCATGTATGATTACCTTCTGCCCCTGAACCTCCAATTTGATGGTCTGATTTTGGAAGTTAATCTGAGTATCTCCCAAGCTTGTAAGCCAGTCCATGCCCAACACCATATCTGTTCCCCTCCACTCAAACATATAGAAAGGTTGCTGTATTTTTAGCCCTTGCAGTTCCAATTCCAACCCCTCACATATTCTATTGTTAGTGATTTGATCTCCATTACCTATCTGTACAGAGTATCTTCTTATCATATGGTAGGGTAACTCCCATTTTCTCACAAACTCTTGAGAAATGAAGTTATGGGATGCACCAGTATCTATAAGGATTTCAACCTTCTTTTCTCCAGAGTTCCACTTCAATTCTCCTTTCATCTTGAATGTTTTCATGCTTGGAATCTCTTCCTTACTTGTTGAAGATATTTGCATAGTTCTGAATTCCATTTCAGTTTCATCTTCCTCCTTGGTATCCTTCTTGACAGATTCAGTTTCTTTTTCTCCTCCAGAATCCTCCACAAGAATAATTTTGTAGTGTTTCATTTTGCAGACATGACCTCGGTTCCAAATTTCCCCACATTTGAAGCAGAGTCCCTTCTTGCTTCTGTCCAAAAGTTCTTCTTGGATAATCTGGGACCTTCCCTTCTGAAATTTAGGTCTATGCCTTCCTCCTTAGTCTTGGAATCCCCTGAACCTTTATCAACACTAGCAGTAGGGTGGCTTAAGCTCTGCCATCTACTCCCTTCTCCCCATTTCTGGCCTGAATTTGGAAGGCTTGGTTTATTCTGCCCTCTCCTCTTTCCTTCATCCTTATTCTTCACAAACAAGGTTTCAGAATTCTTATTCTCAATTGCGGAAGCAGTATCCATAACTTCTGCCAACGTTCTAGTACAATGTAACTTCAATTCTGCTCTTATATCTCTTTTCAATCCCTTAAGAAAGACTCTTCTCAAGACTTCTTCAGTTAAGTGGCCTTGTGACGCGATAGCAGTTTCAAATTTGTCTCGGTACTCCTGAATTGTCCCCTTCTGCTTCAGGCTAAACAGAGGCCCTAGCGGATCCTGTACCAGATCAGGTTGAAATCGCTTGGTCAAAGCTTGATAAAAGAGTCCCAGTTTTGATGCGTAGCCTGCCTCTCCCACCATTGAAACCAGCTGAGAGCGTGGTCCTCCATAGAAACTACAACGACATCAATTTTCTGTTCCTCTTCAGTTTGATTCAAGCGGAAATATCGGTTCATTCTAACCAGCCAACCGAAGGCGTCTTCCCCATTGAAAAAAGGTAAATCAATTTTTCTGCCTATCAGATGATGATTTCGATGATACCTGTGTTGATCTCGACTACGATGAGAAATAGAATGATGATCCGATCCTTCTGAACTGTCCTCTTCTTTCGTCTGTCTATGATGATGAGATGTGCGATGAGAAGTCGCTGAGTGATGTGAATTGCTCCTCAAGCAATCTGGACCTCGATTCAGCACTGTCGCGATACTAGCTTGCAACGCTGCGACACTCGTTGCTAGATTCCTCTCCATACTCATATGCGACTCTCGCATCTCCGTCATGTTTCTTCCGAACTCCACCATCTGCCTCTCGATGTCATTCACGCGTCCTTCCATCTTCGCTCGAGTTTGTCTCATCCAGTGATCGTCTCTCTTTGATACCAATGATAGAGAACTCCAGCAATCCAGACAATTAACATAAAGATTAACAAGAAACAGATGAATTTTTATTGATGAAGAAGAACAATTACAGAAATTGAAGAGAGAGTATGGCCGAAGCCCCCAATGAGCCGAAGCCCCCCAAAAGAAAGAGAAAGTTCTCGATCTTCCCAAGTCCCAAAATAATCCCCCAAAAGAAAGAGAAAGCCTCCCTTGCTACTCCCATCTAACTTCTATTTATAGTATTCCCACTACAAAGTGTACATATTAGCTACTCACTACTTTATTATTATTTCTGGGTCCATTAGGCCCAATTCTTAACAGTCTATTAGGCCCGGTACCTATCGTGCACCCACATTCAGAAATATGTAAACCCCTATGGTTTTGCAATATGAAAACACAAAGAAAAACTAAATTTATAAAGAAATACTCATTCATGAAATTTAGACATATTCCCAGAAGAGATTTGACTTTTGTTATATGCCCAGCAGAAAGAAAAAATTTCTTTTTACCAATGATGATGATGATGAGTTGAGATGATCATTGGCTGAGAAACATGCCAAAGAGGAGGCAACCCCGGTTGAAATTGCTCTGTATCCATCTCTGCACGTTTCCAGCCTCACACTTAAAACTATTGAGATAAAATGCAGCAACTGGGAGTGATCGATCTAAGTTGATTGCTCAAATGGTATAAAAGTACGTTCATACTATTATACTATTGTGTGAACTAATTAAAACATACATTCTATTAGGAAGTAGTAAAAGTATTAGTTACTATATGAAACAAATAACCTATTCTATTTTTTTAGGGAATAAATAACATATTCTTACCACACCCTGTTAGCAGCTCTGCAGCAGTAGATATATAATACTCATAAGAGAGTTGCATATGATGAGTTGAGATGAATGATGGACTTGATTATAAAAAATCACCCCTTGTATGGTTATTGGAAAACCAAAGCTGACATTATTTTAAGGCCATGTACACACATTCATAATTATTTAAATCCCGAATGATTTTACTCTATGAAAACACAAAGAAAAATTAAATTTATAAAAATACTCATCCATGAAATTTAGCCATCTGCCCAGAAGAGAATTGATCACTTTTGCTGTATATACCCCAGAAGGCCAGAACAAAGAATGAATCTTTTTTGCAAAAAAAATGAATAAAAACACAAAATCATTCATGAAGTATAGCCATCTACCATACCCAGAAAAGATTCAATCATTGCTACATGAAAAACGTAAAATGCAGCAAGTGGACTGCTCAAATCACATAATCAAAACAAGTAATTGACAGAGTGGGAAGATCTCTCAAACTAAAGAAAGCATAAAATAAACATCACAAACCCAAACAAATTCAACTGACTAAACAAGGATTTATCATGAAGTTGGTGTTTATGCAGGTTAACGACTGAGGAGGACCAAGAAGAAGATGAATTCATAGACAGAAACCTTGGATCGACGAAAATGCAGGTAAGTTTCACTGGAGGGAAGTTGATCGTACGATGATCTGATCACTGTAATCTAGCTATCTGCTGCGTGATACTCCGTATATGCTTATCGACTCATCAGGGGGCGGCATGATACTAATATATAGACCAATGTTGCACGGATACTGATACGCCGATACTCGGATACGCGGATACGGGTACGGCGATACGGCACTTTCAAAAATTATAGGATACGGGTACGGGGTATATTTATAAATAATAAAAATATAGGGTATAATTTGCAAATATATATAATTCAGGGGTTCATAAATAAAATAATAATAGTACAAAAAATTAACTATTATAATAAAGTTTCAAAGATTAGTCTAAAAAAACTAAAGTATTGATATTTTGATTTAAATTCAAATAAAATTTTTTTTGTTCTCTATTTGCATTTACATCTAAGTCTTGTTTCAATTAAAGCTCATCAAGCAATGAAATGACAAATTATAGTATTCCATTATTTTCCATACTCCCGAAACCATTTTTATCAATGTTCCACATGTTGTGGTCGCTTGGGCGGCTACTGAATTTTCGTCATGTCGTGTATCAAATGAGGGGTTATAGGTTCAGATACGTGTATCGGTTCACGGATACGGGTATCGGAAGTATTGATATTTTTAAAATTAAGCCCGGTACTTTTATTAAATTACGGATACGGACCCAATGCGTACAGGACGCGTATCGGTGAGTATCGGATACGGATACGTATCGGATACGCGGATACGGCATCGAGGTGAAGTATGGGTGCAACATAGATATAGACTGAGAAGGATGACGCTGCGGCTTACTCTCTGCATAGAAATTTGAAGAAGTGACGGAACTGGAAATGGGTTGGCAAAAAATCGTTGTTGAAGCGAAAAATCTTGGCTTCCTCTAAATGTCTGATACTTTTAACGAGTATGAGACATATCATATCTTCTAATTAAATTTTCCTTCTTTTATAAAAACTTATTAAATTAATAAATTATATCTATAATTCACTCCTATGAAATTGAATATGCGAATTTATTGTAATAGGATATTTTTGATACATGCATTGATATGACATTTTAAAAATGAGCATAACGTCAATACTAAATGAGCATACATAACTTACAAAGTGCGCATTGATATGAAAATCGTAAAGTTTGTTAGTTGAACATTACGACATTTTTTCATTTAGCATTAAACATCTGCTATTGAGATGAAAATCATGATCTATGTTGAATGAACATTAATGAACTTTTAATGAGCATCAAACCTATTAAATTAAATTTTATTTATAATCAATTCTTATGAATTTCAATATGCGAATATAATGTAATGGTACTTTTAAAATGTTCATTGATATGTCACTTTATAAATGAGCATAACATCAATACCAAATGAGCATATATAACTTACAACATGCGCATTGATAAGAAAATCGTAAAGTTTGTTAGTTGAACACCACTACATTTTCATTGAACATCAAATCTCCTCTATGGAGATGGAAACCACATTTTTTGTTAAATGAGCATTAATGAATTTTTAATGAGAATCAGACATATTTTGTTGAGTATTAGGAGTCTAATACTTACATCGTCATATATAATTCATATCATTTAATTCTTTTTTCTTATTTTTTCTTTTATAATAATTTCTTAAATTATATGTATACTCCTATGAATTTCAATATGCAAATCTAATTTAATATTATACTTTTCAAGTATTCATTGATATGAAAATCGTAAACTCTATTATTTGAGTATCAAGACATGTTCATTGAGCATCAAGCTTTCTCTATTGAACATATGTACTCTACAATTGAGTATACAAAATTTGGACACCTTATATTTTATCTAAACATTTTCATTTAGTATCTTGTTCTCTACTATTGAGCGTCATTATGATGTGTAACGAGCATTAGAGCTCTCAAATTGAGTATACAAATTTCAAAATCACATTTAAGTACCAAAACATCTTCATTGAATATCATATTCTCGACTATTGAGAATTGATCGAGACTATGTGTATTGAGCATCGGAACTTTGCAATTAAAAATATAAAAAGTTTAAAACTTATTTGAGCATCAAGACATCTTCATTAAATATTGTGTTTTCTACTATTGAGCATGCATTGGAATTATTTGAGCAAGATACAATCAGGTCGTGTGAGTTTCATCGCCATTGATATAACATTTTAAATTGAGCATAACATTATTACTGAATAAGTAGACATAATTTACAAAATGAGAATCAAAAAATTCGAAAACTAATTTAAAATCTCTAATGTGTTCAAATATTCAATTGTGCATGTTCATTTCTTTTAAGAGTTAAAATAAAGCTCATTTCTATAATATTTACATATAATAGATTTATTATTAACAATCGACTAAACTATCATTATACTCCGGTATATAAAAATGAGAAATACAATAAATTTTAGTTTCAAAATAATTTATAATTTATCGTTTTTCAATTATAAAATTAATCATATTCTTTTTAGTATACTCATGCACATTTACCCATGCACATTTATTTTAAACACTATACTCATTTTTTGGAAGGAAACACTTAACTCATTTTAGTATAACACATGAGTTATGTTAATAATTAACACGCAATTTTAAAACAAGTGCCACAAAATCTATTTAATTAATAAATATTAATCTTAAAATTAAGAATATAAAAAACATAGATACCTTAAATATTTTATAATTCACAATTTAATGAAATATTTGAATTATAACGAAGGTTGATTACAAAAATAAAATAAAAAAAGAAGTAAGTAGGACCTTAAGTCACATTATATATATTGCATAATTTTTATAAATTAAAATTAATGAGAAAGTTTGGTAAGGGAAAAAACAAATAGGAAAGAGGTGGTTTTGGAGTGACTAACGTAATGTAAGAAGCAAAAAAAAAACAAAAATAGAAAAAAAGGCTAGAGAGCAAAAGGCATGATACGTTACAATTCTAGGCAAAAGGCCTAGAATTGCATCATATTACAAAATACCGGGTGTATAGCTACACCCGGATGTATGTTATAATTTGTGATACTTGGCATACTTGTCTTCCACTCAGAGAGAGTTGTCTGTTTACAGTTTCAACTTCCAATTCCCAATTCCTCCAACCTAGCTTCATCTTCTCAATTCAGTTCTACATATAAAATCGATACATCACAATAATATAAAAAAAGGTAATGATTTTTTAAATCCAAACATTTATACTCAAATCAATTGAATACTCATTCAATAATGGAATAATATTTTTTTACTCCAGGGGGCGTCTGGGGGTGGAGGCGGGAGGGGGGGGGGGAGTAATTAATCAGGACTGAAACACACTCTATTGAGTTTCGAACCTGAGACCTCCCGTAAGAGAGAGTGAGTCAGCGACCAGCTGGGCTGGACCGCTTCATGTAATGGAATAAAAATTCTAAAAGTTATTTAATATGTAGTACTTGATTTGAAGTAACGCAACTCATTATTTTAAGCAGTTTGTGTCTTACATTAACAAAATAAGCAATTTGAGTAAAAGAACCGATGAAACAAATGACAGATCTACATTTTTTATTTTTCTTCCTTAATACTCCCTCATCCCAATTTGATGATCTGATTGTGGTTTAGGGAGGTTGGACTGACGATAAAGCAAACAGATCGTTGTCCATACTCAAATTGCACTTTTAGCAAACAACATACATGTTTAGAAATTACATCACAAGCTTTTACAAAGTCGCCAAAAGAAAAATCAAATTTGATAAAAGTTATATATATAAAGTAAGAGATTAAGAGTGATTTCACTGATTTGTGTTGATCAAGTTAATAACAAACATAATCATCAAATTGAGACCAAGGTAGTATATAATAGTCCTCTTCTGTAGAACCAGTTTAACATCTTAAAAACTCCTCTATTCTGTGCCTCTTTTAGACGTCCTAGCTTTGCTAAAGCTTCTCATATCTATTTTAGAATATAATCAACACTCTTGAATGATTAATTAATCATCAAATATCAAAAGTATACACATATAACATCATAGTTATCATCAATCACCTCATTATCTTGTTTACCCATTAAATTTCAACGAGAAATTTAAGTTGGGACTGATATAGTTTTAATTAGTGTTTTTTCACCAATCTCAATTGTCAGTCAATAAGAACATTAGAATTCTCTGTTTAATAATATATTAGAAAAAATACTTGTAACAAAAATTAATAGAATGTTTTAAATTCGAATTATTTAAGTCTCAAACATATCAAATCAGATTTAAATAGACCAGATAAGATGAACGTAGTACGGTAGTAACATGGAAAGTAACTAGAAGTCTAGTAGTGATATAAGAAATCAAAAATTGCATAAAAATTGTTGGTGAAGTTTATAGTTTTCTAATTTTAATGTCTTGTTAGTTACATTTTTATACATGTGTAAAAAAGCCTTCTTGTTCCTTCCAACTCTAGTCACAAATATGCATATTTAAATACCTATCGGAATGAGTCTATGTAGATTAATATTAAAATGGATCAATTTCTCTTGAAAGGTTCTTCACCTTTTTTACTACTTCCAACTGCTCTTTGCGTGTAGCCTTCTTGTTCCTTTCAACTCTAGTCACAACTTTGGTTTTTTGCATGATTGCATCCTTCATTATTCGTAATCAGAGTTTGAATTCCATAATGCATCAGGTGATATACTTCTATTGGTGTATATTATTTAAATTGTTAATTCAATTGAACGATGCACTACTAAGGGTGTTTTACCAAAAGACGGGAAAAGTTGGATTAGGTTGCCAAAATACGGGGATGTTTTTAGGGTTTACAAAAAAGGGAGTCGGAATTGCCAAAAAAATTCCCTCCTGTCGGAAGTGGCTAATCCGACTAGGAGGAGTTTATATTTTGTTTGGTCAAATTCTTAGTTCTTAACCCTTTGATTTTCAAAGTTCTTAAAACTCGGTTAAAAAAAAAATTAAAACTAAAGTTTGAAATTAATTTTATCAATTCCAAATTTAAAAGTTTTTTTTAAATTCCTGTCATATTTTTTAAAATGAAAATAATGCATTTCGATTTTTTGAGGAACAAAACATTTGATTGCTTTATATTGTTTTTTAATC